CCTGGTGACTATAAGTAACATCTTAAATGTGTAACAATCTAGTTTGAATTAATACCAGCTTAGCTTTGGTAGCGTACAAAGTTCTCTGCTCCTGTACAGCTTCATTCCCATCCCTGCTTTTATGTTGACATTGTTATAAATAACATCTTTATTAATTCTGTGCCCATTGACATGTATTTACAATGATTGTTTTATGTATTTGTCTTTTAAATCATACAGAAAAAAACCAGAAGTTACAAACTGAAAAATATGACAATATTGCTTTTATGTTTACCTATGTAGTTACCTTTATCATTGTTATTTATTTCTTCATATAGCTTCAAGTTACTGTCTAGTATCTTTCCATTTTAACCTGGACTCAATGGCATGTTCTGTGGTACAGGCCTACCAGCAACAAACTCTCTTAGCTTGTGTTTATCTGGAAATGTCTTATTTTCTCCTTCAGTTTTGAAGGATAGCTTTGCTCAATATAGAATTCTAGGTTGAGGCTGGGTGCAGTGGCTCACGCCTGTAATCTGAGCACTTTGGGAGGCCTATACAGGTGGATTCCTGGAGTCCAGGAGCTTGAGACCAGCCTGGGAAACATGGTGAAAACCTATCTCTGCAAAAAATACCAAACAGCCAGGTACTGTTGTCCTAGCTACTCGGGAAGTTGAGATGGGAGAATCACTGGGCCCTGGAGGTCAAGGCTGCAGTGAGCTGTGATCATGCCACTGCATTCCAGCCCAGGTGACAGAATGAGACCCTGTTTAAAAAAAAAAAAAAAAAAAATTCTGGGTTGACAAGGGTTTTTTTTTGTTTCTCTTTCAGTACTTTAAATATGTCCTCCCTCTGCCTTTCGGCCTCCATAATTTCTGATGAGTAATTGGCTATTAATCTTATTGAGGATCCCTTGAACTTGATGCATTGCTCCTCTCATTGTTTTCAAGATTTTTTCTTTGTCTTTTGATAATTTTATGATAATGTGTGTAAATGTAGATATACTTGAATTTATCCCACTTTGAATTTGTTGAGGTTTTTAGATATGTAGATGTAAATCTTTCATCAAATTTGGAGAGTTTTAGGCAATCATTTCTTCAGATGTTCTTTCTGCTCCTTTCTCTCCTGTCCTTCTGGGACTCCCATTATGTGTCTTGGATATGTATGATGCTGTCCCACAGGTATCTTAGGCTCTGTTAACTGTTCTTCATTCTTTTTTCATTCTGCTCCTCAAACTGAATAATATTAATTATCCTATCTTCAAGTTTGTTGACACTTTCTTCTGCCTGCTTAGATCTACCATTGAATTTTTTAATTTTAGTTATTTTACTTTTTAACTCTAGAATTTCTGATTGATTACTTTTCATAATTTCTCTTTATTGATATTTTCTATTTGGTGAGATACTGTTCTTCTGGTTTCCTTTAGTTGTTTTTCCATGGTTTCCTTTGGCTCTTTAAATATAGTTAAGCAGTTCATTTAAAGCCTTTCTCTAGTAAGTCCAATATCTGGGTTTCCCTGGGGACAGTTTCTAGTAAATTCTTTTCCTGTGAATTTTCCATACATTTTTGTTTCTTTGTATACCTCAGGTTTTTCTTGTTGTTGAAAACTGAACATTTTAAATATTAGAATGTGGTAACCGTGGAAATCAAATTTCCCCTTTTCCTTTATATTTGTTGTTGCTGCTTGTTGCCGTTTGTAGCTGTTTGTTGTTTAGTTACTTTTCCAAACTATTTTTATAAAGACTGTACCATTTGTCATGTATAGTCTCCATTCAGTTAAATAAGTGATTTAACAGAGATCAGCCAGTGATTTGACAGAGATTATCTGGAGCCAAAACAAAAACAAAAACAAATCTCTTCCAGTCTTTGCAGATTGGCTCTGGGTTGAGGCATTCATTCAATGCTGTTAGCCAGGCTGTCCACATCAAGGCTAATCTGCATTAGCCTTCACCTTCTACTTTCAAAAAGTCCAATGATCAGCCAGAGGTGAAAGCTTAGGGTTGTTCTCAGGCCTTTTCAAAACATGGTTCCAAACCTGGTGTCTATATTCCTTGGTTTGCATGTGAGCCTTTCAAAGCCTTATTCTCCTATATGCCTCCTTCCCCAACCTCTTTCTTCCCAGGCTGTTTAGCCTACCTATCTGTGCCTCATCTGTTACCCCTTGTACCAGGAGGCTGTGTCTGGTATCTTTGTCTTTAAATGAACCTGACAGATGCTTCCCAGGAGGGACTCCTCCAGCCCTGAGAAAGTTTCAAGGCAGATAAAATAAAGTCAAGCCCTGAGCTGATCCCTCAGGGAACCTCCACACATGTCAGCCCACAGAGCCACAATTCCTAGAGAACAAGGTTCATATTGTCCCCTCTGGTACTAGCAAGCTGCACCAGGAATAGGGGCTGTCATTCCATGGATGCTACTTAACAGGGCCATGAGGGATGGCAGGGGAATATGCTAAAAATGCTACAGTTCTTTCTTACCAAAATTAAGCAGCATCTTTCTTAATTAAGCATTCCCTTGGTTGTTGCAAGTTTTTTCTTTAAATTCCAGAAATCTGGTTAAAGTTGTTTCTGACAGTGTTTGCCAGCTTCATTGTTGACCTAGTGAACGGATATGGTTTTTGAGTTCCAAAATTAGAGTAATCACCATTTTTGGTGACTTTACTCCCTCTTTTTATGAGTTTATTTTTAAATTTTTATTTGTATTTATTTTAGCGAAAGGGTCTTGTTCTGTCTGCCAGGCTGGAGTGCAGGGGTGTGATCATGGCTCACTGTAACCTCGAACTCCTGGGCTCCAGCATTCCTCCCACCTCAGCCTCCCAAGAAGCTGGAACTACAGGCATGTGCCACCATGGCTGGCTAATTTTTTAGTTTTTAGTAGAGGTGATGTCTTGCTATGTTTCCCAGGCTTGTCTGGAACTTCTGGCCTCAAGTGATCCTCCTGCCTCAGCCTCCCAAGGTGCTGAGATTACAGGTGTGAGCTACCATGCCCAGCCCTCCCTCCTTTATAATTTTGACAACCTATATTCTTTTCTGTGAATTATTTGTTCACTACTTTTGTCCACATTTTATTGGGTTATTGACTTTTTCTAATTGACTTGTAGTATTTTACATAGTGGAGACATTGGCCACTGTTCTGTGATAAGAGTTTCAAATGTGTTTCTCAGTTTGTTATTTGTCTTTCATCTTTGGTTATGATAGTTTTGTTTTTTTTGTGTGTGTGTATTTTTTTTTGAAACAGAGGGATTTTGGAGGCTTTTTTCTTTCATGTAGTTGACTTTATCAGACTTTTTCTATTATGACTTCTGGACTTTTTAGTCATAATTATGAAAAGCCTTCCCGGATCCAAAATTATAGAATAATTTCCCCATGTTTTCTAGTAGAAATGTTATGGCTTAATTGCCTCACATTTAAACCTTAGATTATTTTGAACTTATCCCTGGATAAGTTATAATTAATAGATCTAGTGTCCACCACACCCTCCTCTGCCCCAGATATGCAGGTTCTTGAATAAGAGATATTCTTAACAAGTTTGTTCAGCGAGTATTTATCAGCATTAGTAGCCTCTGAGAAATAGTGCTCACCTTGCATTGCACTTGTTTCATGATGCCCTGGTTTCTAATCCTAGCCCTTGCCACTTAATTACCATATGAACTTGGGCACCCATTCACCTGGCGGGAACCATCTGTTCTGTGATCTGTAAATGGCAATAAGAGTTTCTGTCCTGCCGATTGCATAGAGTTGTTATAAAATTAACCAAGACAATGTCTATTCCAAGACTGTGATACTATAAAATGCTAAATATGCTACTGCCTTTCATCATGTTTAGCATTTTACAGCATCCACAGTCTTATAATAGATATTGATACAGGTAGAATTGTAGCAGGACTTTCTATGTGGATGGCGCTTATTCCCATGTAACTGCCACAACCCTCACAACAACCCAGCACAGTGTTTGGAACATAGGCGGGGCCCGACAAACATTGGTTTGAATATTTATTAAATCTCTGTCAAATCTTTACTATTTTTCAAATGCTACTGTTTTATTCCAATGAATAAAACACTCCAAATTCATGAACTCATGGAACTTGCATTCTAGTAGGACAGAGAAGTACAATAATAAAATTTAAAAGTACAAGATATGTTAGATAGCAAGCAATGCTAAGGAGGAATAGAAAACAGAGAAGGGAAAGAGTCTTGGGAGTAGAGGGATGCAACAGGGCAGTCAGAAAATCTCATTAAGAAAGTAACATTTGGACAGAGCCTTAAAGGAGTTGAGAGAGTGAGATGGCTCTATGGGGGAAGAGCAAAGGCCAGTATCCTCCAAGACTAAAGGACAGGGGCAGGCCAGTGTGGCCACAGCCCAGTGAGCAATGGCGAGAATGCTGGAGAGTAAGAGAGGTAAGGGGACAAGATGCAGGGGCCAGATTCTTGCAGCCTTGAAGCACATGGCAGGGACTATAGCTTTTATTCTGTAAAAGGTAGAAAGCCACTGGAGGGTTTCGAGGAAAGTAGTGACATGACGTGGGCTAGGTTTTAACAGGATCCCTCGATCAGCTGTTTGGAGAACAGACTGAAGACAGGCCAAGGAAGAAAGCACAGAATCCATTAGGAGGTATTTGCAGGCAGCCAGCCAAGAATGAAGGCAACCTGGACCACATCCGTGGGGGTGGAGGGCAGGAAAAGCAGTCAGATTATGGGTCTGTCTTGAGCGTAGAGAGGACAAGCTTGCTGAAAGATTAGATGGGATGTGTTGTGTGTGAGAGAAAGGAGTTAAGGATGACACCAAAGCATTAGTTGACCAAATGCGTGGGTGAAGGAATAACTTGTTATTCTCATCTTGCACTTTAGAAAGAGGCCCAAAGAGGTTAGGGGATCTAACCAAGGTGGTGCAGCACATTGGCAGCAGGACCCAGACCAGAATCTGCCTGCAGCAGGGCCTTTGCCCATCAGAAGCCAGGAGGCTCTGGGAGTCAGGGACCACCACCACCTGCTGAGGGCCCCTGTGCACTGTGCTCCTCCTTGCAGAAGGAAGGCCCGCGAGGGACGTAGCCCCACCAGGTGGGCAGCCTCGCCCTTGGACTGCCCGCTGGTGCTGCGGAAGCTGTTGCACAAGGAAGATGCCCATGGCTTCTGCAAGTGCCTGGTGAAGGCCCCCCGGGTCTCCGACGTGGAGCTGGAGCGCTTCCTGTTGGTGCCTCGAGACCCCAGCCAAGTGCTGGTGTTTGGGATCATCTCGAGCCAGAACTACACCAGCACTGCGCAGCTCCAGTGGCTGCTGGACACACTCTACAGTCATGAGCAGCGGGGCCGTGCCTCCCCCTGCATCCAGGTTGGCCTGGGCTCAGCGAGGAGGCCCTGGAGGCCAGGGGTAGGGGTACCGGGGCAGTCTGAGAAGACCCCCGCTTCCTAGGGCTGGCTAAGTACCTGTCTGAGGGGCCACCCGCCTTCAGCTCCTTTCTCCTTAGGGCCTTTGCATGTACTCTCCCATCTGCCACATCGCCCCTCCTCCTGCTTCTCTCCTTCCCACTCATCCTCTAGTGCAGGTTGAATGTCATGGCATCAGGACCAGGCTCTCCTCTGACTGGTGAGACAAAATCAGGACATTGTCCTTTCCTTCCAGTTTGTGACTCTTTGTTGGTATGAATATTGAGAGCACCGGCAGTGCTCACCACTGAATCCTCAGGGCTCTGAAAATATTTGTAGACTGTCGTGAGTACCCACTGTGTGCTGGGCATGGGCCAGGCCCTGGGCACCCAGCAGGACTCAGATGCAAGCGGGGACCTGGAGGAGCTCCCAGTGTGGCAGCAACTCCAGCACCGCCAGTGAGGCTATGAGAGGACAGCTCCGGGCACGCAAGAGCCTGGGAACATGTGCCTGCTGCCTCTTGGGGGTCCAGAGGGCCTTCCAAGTTGAGTGGGGTTTTGGCAGGCGATGAATGTTCCTGGAAAAGGCAGCAGCCTGTGTAAAGGGGGACAGGAGAGAAGCACTGCTCAAGGTCCTAGTTGGTTTTATGGTTGAGGTCTAAAGGGAGTCTCCAGGCCCATGGAACATACTCCCACCTGGTCACCTCTGCAATAGAGTCATTCCCACATATTAGGCTTATGTAATCCTCCAAGTATGCAGTCATTCCCAGCAGCACTGGCACAGATTGAAGCCTGGCCCCAACCCCAGACCAACTGGAGCAAAGGATGGCACGTGAGCACATGAACTGGGTGTCTACATGCTGACTTCCTTCAAGCCCTCTGTGCCCTTCTGTCTCCTAGAATCCACCATCTCTGCCCATTTCCCATTTGCCGCTGCAGAGTTCTGGGTTTTCACGTACACCAGGGGTGGGAGTGTCTGCGTGGACACCCTCCTTCCAGGAGTGGCCCCTCCCTGCCCCTGGCATGCCCACCTTTGGGTCTGTGCTCCAGACCTTCGGAGCAGACACCAGTAGCCCTTTGACCATCTCAGTCTAAGTGTATAGACTCAGCCACAGCCTTTTCACTCATCCTGTTCAGCAAAGCCATGTTTGTTTTCCAGAGCCAACTTGCAATTTAATTCAATCCAGTGAGCAAGTATTGAGTTCCTTCTGTGTGTCCGTCCCTGTAGAGACAGATAAAATCCCTGCCCACGGGGGAACTTAGAGTTGACTTTCACTTATCATGGCGCTATTCATTGTTCATTAATAGTTGTCCCTAAACAATCGGAGTGCTCAGGTGGCCGAGCCCAGCCATGGGCAGCGTGAGTGAGGACAGGGCATGGCCTGAGGTAGTTGAAGCACATAAAGGAGTGGGCAGCAGGCCTGGAGGACAGACTTGGAAGCTAGCATCTAATTAAGATGTCTTTGGTGAATGCACAGATGTTCCCTGACTTTCTGTTTCCCTGACAGCTAGAACACTGGGTGTGGTTCTGTGTTTCATGTTGTAGATTGAAAGGATAGTTGGAGGCACCTGGAAATAAAGGCAGATAAAACAGGAAGATTGTATTGGCTGTGTTAATAGATCTGAGGCATGCAGAAAGAAGGAGGGGAGAGAGGCCAGCTTTCCCCTGAATTGCCCAAACCCTACCTTGAGGTATGGGTTCAATTCAGGTCCTCTCCCTGGATTTAGTGACTGGGAGGGTCCTGAGGGGCTTGCCAGCAGGGGGTGGGGAGTGGAGGAATTCTTTATGCTGCTGTAAAGTAGACTCAAAAGCCTGGAAACAGGTCCACCCAAGAACATGGTTCCCATCTTCAAACCTCTGCAGCATCATCCCCAGGGGAAGGGAGCAGTCACATTCTGCACACCCCAGAGGGTCAGGCTAGTAGGCGTCACATGTGGAGCAGCCATCTCGGAAATGGCCTTCTCCCATAGAGGGCTCTAAGCAGATCCAGGGACATCCTCCAAGGACAATCATAGGAGGTGTGCATGCAGGGTCAAGGGCCCCTGGAGTAGGAGGAGTTGGGGAGAGGGAGTTGTACAGGGCTCCAGGACTCAGGGGAACCTCGCCTGGCTGGGAATGTGGCAATCCAGGTGCATCTTCTTGGAATGGGGTGACCAGTTCTTATATCTCTCTCCTGGTAGTGCCGGCATGACCCCTACCGCCTGCTGCAGTATGACCTGGACAGCCCCTTGCAGGAGGACCCTCCCCTGATGATGAAGAAGTACTCTGTGGTGCCAGGGATGATTCTGGTGAGCCAGCAGACTTGCCATCCACTGCCTGCCACCCCAGCAGCAGCCACCTCTGCCCCTGCAGAATCACACATGTCAGAGGAGGAGGAGGGAGGAGAGGAAGGGAAGGGCTGCGGGCTCCTCTCCCCACCCAGGCTGAGGCCCAGAGAGCAGGAAGACTGACCAAGAGTCCCCCAGCATACACAGCTGGGTCTGGAGCCCAGGCCGACCCAATGTGTCCCCCATCCCAGGAGACTGAAGGGACTGTGACATTCAACCTAACAAATCAAATTCCCTTCATCTGTTTGTTTTTAAAGGGCTTTATCCTAAAAACAGTGCGCTGTAAATACTTACACATGTTCATTTTAGAAAACTTGGAAAATACAATTTAGAAAATAATGTCATCGGATCACCCAGAGTCTCCTTTGTTCATCCCACAGATATGTACGTGGCATCGGCAAGGGCCACTGCATGCTAACATTTTGGTGTCTGACCATTGCAGTCTTTTTCTGCATATATTCTTTGCAATTCTTCTTTTTAAATTAAAATACCGTGAGCATTTCCCCATGTCCTTATATAGTTTGTAACACCTGATTTTTAATCACTGCGTAAGAGTCCGTCATTTTATCTATTTGTGCTGCTTTTGTTGACATGTAAGTTATTTTTATTTTTCTGCCATAACAAATAATGCTGTGATGAATATTTTTGCACAGAAGTCTTTGGATAGGTGTCTACTTGTTGGGGGCCCACCTACGGGGGTAGGAGCCCTGCCCTCAAGTGGCTCCCATTCTGTGGGATGAGCTGAAAGGTGCGTACACAGTAGGGGAACACCTTTCTGGCCCCCGGGCTCTGTGGGGCTATATGTGAAATGCATTTGAGCTGGGTGACCAAGCAGGCAGAGGGGAAGGAGTGCTGCCCTCCCTGCATTGCCCAGGGTGGTATGGCTGAGCCGAGCCCCTGCCCAGGCTGGGATGGTGGGGTTCCCTTTTGACTTGGGGGCCTGGGCAGGGGCTCGGCTCAGCCATACCTCCCTGTGCAACTCAGGGAAAGCAGGACTCCTTCCCCAGCCACCCAAGGCCTGCCTCCCAGCGCAAACTCTGAGAGGCCTGTGGCACTGCCCTAGTGAAATTCCAAACTCGCATGTCTTATCAGTGGACACTGCTGTGCTGATGTGCTGAGGGCCTCTCCTTGTTTCCTTCCTGTCAACAGATGTTTGCCGGGGGGAAGCTCCTTTTTGGGGGCTGTGTTTTGAATGGATATGGCCTCAGCAAGCAGAATCTGCTGAAACAGATCTTCCAGTCTCGACAGGATGGCAAGATGGGTTACTTCCTGCCAGAGAACTACAAATTCAAGTAAAACAGGAAACATGCAGGATGAGGGGTGGGTCTGGGGAGGGATGGAAGGCAGAAACGAGACTTGGACTGTGAAAGGGGAACTGATGGAAGCAGGTGGGGCCAAAGGGATGGAGTTAGGAGGGGGCTGGGTCCATGGCACACATGGTAAAAAAACTGTGGCAGGAGGACTTCGCAGGTGGGCAGGGAAGGGATGGGAGCAGGTCCAGGCTGGGAGGGGGTGTGTGAGCAAGGCCATGTTATGGGTTTCTTTGGGACGCAAGTGTGTAAAAAGGGCCATCTTGGGGAAAGAGGGACTTGGGAATGCTTGCACAGTGCCTGTTTCTGTTGGAATAATGAGGACAGAGAATTGGTGGGCAGGAGCCTTGGCTACAACCCCTCTCTGTCCTACCATACCCCACCATCACCTCATATGCAAGTTGGGCCCCGCTTCTGCTTTGGTTTCTTATTTGTTGAGAGAGGGTCTCACTGTCGCACAGGCTGGAGTACTGTGACGCGATCATAGCTCACTGCATCCTTGAATGGCTGGGCTCAAGTGATCCTCCTGCCTCAGCCTCCCTACACAGACAAAGTCTGTTCATGAAGTGATCCCAGGCCCCTGTAGCAGGAGGTGCTGGCTTAAGTCTGCCTCTAGGCTTCTGAGCTTGGACTTTTCAACTAGGGATACCACTTTGTTGAGCACCTCCTGGGCCCAGCTCTCGCAAGATGATCTTCTTAGGTTGAGAGACCTAGACCTAGCTTTGAGTGGCTCGAGAAGAATACAGCCTAGTCCAGGAAGGATCCTGGGCTGCATGAAGTGCCTAAAGACCGCATGAGGGGAACCTGAGCAGATTTGAGAATGCCTGGGCAGCACAGTGGAGTGAGAGACTCACAGGATGAGGTTGGACCCCTGCTCCACTCTTTACTGGCTGGGTGACTGTGGCAAATCAGTTTACCTCCCTAATCCTCTGTTTCCTCACCTTCAGAATGAGGAAATAATGCCCACCTTGAGAGGCTGTGAGGATCTCATGAAAGTGTGTTAAAGAGCTTTGTGAACTGTGAAGCAAATGATGGGGCAGTGGAAAGTGTTATTTATATGGAGGCACAGGGTATGCAGCCTTAAGTTCTGTGACTGCACTCCCCAGCACTGAGTCTGGCCATCACCACTCACACACAGGACCCTCAGTTTTCTAGGAGTCCTTATGCCCATTTCACTGCAGTAAGTTGAGTCTGGGCCTTGTCTGAGTGCGGGAACCCACCCCTGGAGGAACTGAGGAGGTCACGCCAAGTGATCCCTGCAACTCGGAGCACTCAGTGGGGAAGGCAGGCCCAGGAGAAACCTGTGGATGGTAGGAGGGGCAGATGCTGAAAGGTACAGACAGAAAAGTCACTGAGATCCCACTGCCTGAGACTCAAAGAGGTAGAGGGCTTGGTGGTCCTTGAAGACCAGTCATCAACAATCCCAGGAAGAAAGACAGAGGCCCCAAGGGCAGGACAGGATACAGGGATGCCGTCAGGAAGGGCCCAGGCTGAAGATGAACTAAGGCTACCAGGAAATGCCAAGAGGACCAGCAAGGGTGTCTTCAGAAACATTCAGAAGGCTGGCCAGCTATGATGGACAGCGAGCGAATGTCTTAGCCTGTTGAACATTTATTTCTCCCTGTCTGGAGGCTGGTAAGTTCAAGATCAAGGCACCAATGGATTTGGTGTCTGGTGAGGCTGCTTCCTGGTTAATAGCACCTTCTTGCTGTGTCCTCGTGTGGCAGGAAAGATGAGAGTCTCTCTGGGGCCTCTTATATAAGGGCACTAATCCCATTCATGAGGCTCCCACACTTATGACTGCCTCACCTCCCAAAGGCCTTGCCTCCCAACACCATCACCCTGGGGATGAGGATTTCAGCATATCAATTTGTGGGAACATAGACATGCAGACCATCATAATGAGGAACGCCAGAAAGTAGTTGCGAAGAGACATAGCTCTTATTTGGCTCTAGATGTCCTCAAAAGGAAGATGCTCTTTAGTAGGAAAGGACAGCTTAAGGAGTCCGGCCACCTTTCATAGCTGTGTGACCTGTGCAAAACACTCACCCACTCTGTGCACTGGCTTCTTTGTCTGTAGAGTGAGACTCACTGTATTGGGTTATGGGGATTAGAGGAGTCAGCACATGGGAAGTGCCGGCACATCACTCACATTTACTGAGACTACTGCTACCTACCCTTGTTAGTGATATTATTATTGTTAAAAATGAGCTCTGGTCTCCCAATTTATTATATCCAAGGATTCTGAAAGGGCTTAGTGGTATGCTTACAACAGTCTTCAACAATTGTCCAGTAATGGTGGAAAATAATCAGAAAACTAGACACACACACATACACACAAACCAGATACACACACATACAAACTATGTACATACATTCAAACTATAAACACACATGTAAACTAGACACACATGTACACATACATTAAATTTATGCACATACTAGATGTACAAACACACAAACTAGGTACAGAAGTATACACAAACTAGGCATACAGACACATATATACACTATATGCACATATACACAAACCAAACACACACAAACTAGACACAAACATGCACGCACACATACAACCTAGTAACATGCACACAAGATGGTCTAGGTTCTTGAAAATGGAAAGAGGCAGATTCACGAAACTATTAACCAGTAGGACTTCTCCTAATCCTAGAATAGCCAAGTAGGTTGATGGTTTAAAAGCACTTAGGTGAAAAAAGGAAATGGAATCTTTAATCGAAAGAGTTGCCATAGCAATCGTTCCTATAATATCTGTGAAACAAACCACCCGAGCTTTGTAGTATAAAACAACACAATCATTTATTATTATTATTATTCTCTGTCATGGTTCTGGTGCCAACTGGGCTTAGCTAAGTGGTTCTTGTTTGGTGGAGATGAGGGGGTCTGTCATACAGTTGCAGTCACAAGTTGTCTGGGGCTAAGTCATCTCCAAGTCTTGCTCACTCCCATGCCTGGTGGTCAGTGTGGGCTGTCAGCCAGACCACTCACACACAGCCTTTCCAAGTGGCCTGGGCTTCCTCACAACATGGCAGCTGAGTTCCAAGAGGGAGAGTCTCAGGAAAGGGCAGGTGAGAAGCTTTCTTGCCTTTCATGCCTTAGCCTCCTAAGTCATGCAGCATCACACATTCCACTGCACCCATATTCAAGGGAAGGAAATCAGACACCACCTCTTGATGGGGGAAGAGTGTTGAAGAATTTGTGGACATGTTTGAAAAGTACTCTATCCATCCCAGTTCCTCTTCCAGCAGGATGACTAGTTTAGTAGTGCAAGATATGCTTTTGACCTACATTATCTGGATCTCAGAAGACGCTCGGTGAAATCTCACAACGTCCTCATGGACAAGGTGGATGCATTTGGTTCAGATAGTAGCTTCTACAGCCACACCGCAGTGAGTGAGGTTTAGCAGCAGCCTGAAGGGCAGACCTCTGATCAGCCTGTCCATTTATTTTCTAAATATCAACCAGGTTGAATACATAGAAGGCTTGCTGATCAATTGTGCCCTTGAGGGAGAAGAGATGGCTAAATCAAGGTCTCAGCAAGCTTAGCTGCTAAGGGATGGTTTGAGGGGAAGAATAAATGTTCACCTTTAGGTTTGGAAGGCTGGTGGTCAGAGGCCATGGAAGGTCTAGCCTGATGGACTGTTATGCTGGAAACAGTCTCTGAAATCAGAAATATCCATGCCTAGAGCAAGGGGGCTGCAATGCCACGGGCTGACATTGCTGTCTGGGTCCCCTGTTTCTGGAGGAATGTTGGCCAACAGCTTTGCATCTAGAGTGCCAGGAAAGGGAGTCCCTCACTGTTGCTTGGTGGGAATCACATCTTCCTCACCCAGAGTAGACTTTTAATGGGCTTGGCTTTGCATAAATGTAGAGGGAGTAATCTAGGAAATCCTCTGTGGAGGCAGGGAGGTGGAGAGAAAAGCAGTAAGTAAGCAGAGCTGGTGCAGAGAGGCTGGGCTGGGAGCCGGGTCCAGTCAGGCTGTGGTGGCCACTGAGCCAGGGGCACTTCAGCCTTCTCTTTCCTCGGAGGAGCTGGCCACTGGGACAGTCTTCAGTGTGGGCCTGGCACCTATGAAGCCACCATAGGTGCTTCAGGTCTTGTGTGCTCCAGGACATCTTCCACAGTGAGCCAGGGCCATCGTCCTGACAAAGCTGCCTGGCCACACTCAGGAGGCAAGGGCCAGGAGCAGGCAGAGGAACCCACAAAGGAACTAGGCAGTGGGTGTTGGGGAGGAAAGGGTCTCCACGGGGTCCCCAGCTGGGGGCTAGGACCAGTCGGAGACCAGAACTGTGTGAGGCTTGGAGCCTCCCTGTCTCCTTTTCTCCTTTCTTAAGTGGCAGATAGTGACCCCCTCCACAGGGCAGCCCTGAGCAGGGTGCTGGGTCCACATCTGGCTTGGCTCCTGTCTTTGCCAGACTCTTCCCCTCTGGGTACCAGCACAATAGGGATGGGGAGGCCAAGAGCTCATCCTCGCTCCCACAAGCTGCCAATACCCCAGATGGAGGGGACCAAGGGAGCTCTGACACCTGGTAGGGCTCAGGAGGCTGGAGCTGCCAGGAAAGCTTTTGAGTGGCCAGTAGCAGCCGGGCGAGGAAGGACAGCGCAGAACACACACGGAGCTCATGAGTCTTCACCATGTCCACCTGCACATGACAGTCACTGGTCTCCCTTTGCCTCCCTCATCACCCTCAGGAGCAGCCGGCAGGAGGAAAGGGGGGGTCACAAAATAATCACTATTTGCATGTCCCTGTCTATGCCCACGAGCAGCGGTGCTGCCCTGCTGCATTCACACAGCAGTGGGAACGAGGTACACAAGAGACCAGGACTGGACTTGTGACAGTGGTGACGGGCAGGAAGGGCCCACCAGGCAGGGATGCAGAGAGTGGTCAGGTGAAGAGGCGGGGCACCAGGGAAGCTGGAGGCCAGTTGCAGGCAGCCTCACCCCAGCCAGGGTGGCTATCTC